CTCCGAAGCCTTGGTGAATGCTTGGAAAGGGTCCCAGTCTTTTTCAACAGGCATACTGAGATGAATGAATTCTGCAGTCCACAGGGACTTTGTCTTTTTTACCTTGAGAATCCAAGGAGCCATGCTATGAAGAGATCTGGTAGCTTTATTTGGAGCCCATGCATTGCGAGGGTAAGAAGGACCGAGCGAGGCAACCGAAGCCTGTAGACTGAGTGAACAGATTGAATTGAGAGTGATAGAACGTGTTTCCTCCTTTGGAAATGTCAGCATGGGAGGCAGCATTCCTTTGGAATAAAAAGAGTTAACCGTGATCAAATCCCTGCACATTCTCTTTGCTGCCTACTTCTCTCTTCTTTTCTTTTCTGCCTAATTCTTGTTTCTTAAAAAAAAAATTTCTTATTTTTATTCCTAACTCGCTACTTCTCTCTCTTTTTGAGCGGGGAAGAGGACAGGGTGTTACTCCGTTGCCCAGGTTTGAAGTGCAGTGGTGCAATCGTGTCTCAACCTCCTGGGCTCAAGCGAGCCTCCCTCTTCAGCCTCCTGAGCAGCTGGGACTACAGGTGTGCACCACCATGCCCAGATAATTCTTGTATTTTTCATAGAGACGGGGTTTCGCCATGTTGCCCAGGTTGGTCTTGAATTCCTGGGCTCAAGCGATCCACCCTCCTCAACCTCGCAAAATTGTGGGATTACAGGCATGAGCCGCTGTGCCTGGCTGTCTCTACGTCTCTTATACTTCATTGACGCATTCCTTCCTTCCAGCAATATGTATTAGGGGACTGTTGTGTGCTAAGCACTGCACTGAGAAATGAGGATACATAGATGAAAAGCTGATGCTGTCTGCTTCCCAGGAGCTCATGGTTTTGTAGGGGACCCAGTGTATAAACGAATGACGTAAGGGCATTGTATCATTTGTAGCGCCCTACAAGCACCCAAGGTGTTTTGAGGCCAGGCACGGTGGCTCACGCCTGTAATCCCAGCACTTTGGGACTCCAAGGCAGGTGGATCACTTGAGGTCAGGAGTTTGACACCAGCCTGGCCAACATGGCGAAACCCCATCTCTACTAAAATACAAAAATTAGTTGGGCATAGTGGGGGATGCCTGTAATCCCAGGTACTCAGGAGGCTGAGGCTGGACAATCGCTTGAACCCCGGGGGTGGACGTTGCAGAGAGCTGTGATTGTGCCACTGCACTCCAGTCTGAGTGACAGAGCAAGACTCTGTCTCAAAAAAAAAAAAAAAAAAAAAAGGTGTTTTGATTTGAAAAAATTCCTAAGTGAGAATCTGATTGATCTGGTTTATGCCAGGCTCCATATAGCTTGCTGGACACTCTATAGCTCAGGGCCCATTCATTCAAGGAGATGTGGCTGGTGAGGGGACATGGACTGTGGGCGGGTCACCCTTCCCAGCCCTAACTTGCCCTGTGTACTTACTCCACCAGTGTCTTCGGGTCTTTCCAGAGCACTTGCGTTATCTCCCTAGGCAGAGCATGAGTTAACAGGGACTGCCATGGTCTGCACATGGGAAGTATTCAATGGACAATGTGAACACACTCAACTGTTTCTTTACCTGGAGTTGGGCTCATGGCTGGCAGCAAGCGAGAATCACAGCCTTCCTCCTGAAGAAAGCACAGCCAGTGACCAGAGCATTCCAGGAGGTAGAGAACACCGGCCACAGGTCATGTCACATGAATGCTAACACTCCTGGTGTCACCTTTAAAGGTAAAGGTGGCTGGGAGCAGTGGCTCATGCCTATAATCCCATCACTTTGGGAGGCTGAGGTGGGTGGATCACTTGAGGCCAGGAGTTCGAGACCAGACTGACCAATATGGTGAAACCCTGTCTCTACGAAAAATATGAAAATTAGCCAAGTGTAATGGTGGGTGCTTGTAATCCTAGCTACTAGGGTGGCTGAGGCAGGAGAATCACTTGAACCCAGGAGACAGAGGTTGCAGTGACCTGAGATTGAACCATTGCATTCCAGCCTGGGCGACAGAGCGAGACGTTGTTTCAAAAAATTAAAAAATAAGGTAAAGGTGAAGGAAGATTATGAATGACAGGAATGTCACAGGTGAGAAACAGAAAGCTAGTGTCAGTTTTAAATTCTCGTGAATGGAAGTAAAAATTGAGCATTCAAAATGGGATTATAGACCTGGGCAAAAGACTTCTTTTTCAAGAGCCAAGCTATTTTTATTCAATAACTCTCTACAAATGCTCAATAATTCCTATTCATACACAAAATTTGTAGCAGAAGTAATGATTCAACAGAGTGCTGGTGACTCAGGATGGAGTGTTAGTTTAAAATTTAATTCATACGCAGTATCATTTAAATAGGCATTTTCATCAGGGATGATACTGACAATTGATGTCAATGATAGGCTATTAGAAGTAGTTGATGACGGGGTATGGTGGCTCACGCCTGTGATCCCAGCACTGTGGGAGGCTAAGGCGGGCAGATCACCTGAGGTCAGGAGTTTGAGACCAGCCTGACCAATATAGCAAAACCCTGTCTCTACGAAAAATACAAAAATTAGCCGGGCATGGTGGTGAACACCTGTAGCCCCAGCTACTCGGGAGGCTGAGTCAGGAGAATCGCTTGAACCTGGGAAGCAGAGGTTGCAGTGAGCTGAGATCACACCACTGCACTCCAGCCTGATGACAGAGCGAGACTGCACTTCAAAATAAAGAAGTAGTTGACGACAGAACTGCTGCCCAGATGGGTCTCTACCCCACCTTCGTATTTTATCATTGTTCTTCCGAGTCTCTTCTTTGGCTTGAAAGTACTTCTGCTGAACTTCAATGGAGTCAAAATCCAAGTTCAAATAAAATAACTAGATGGCTTGAAGAAGCCCTTGACTCATTGTCCTGCAGTGGGAGAGCAGAAGACACCCATCCAGGAGCCTCCCATGCACCCTCGAGGTCTGGTAGGGCAGGGTCCCTTCTGCCGAGGGCCTTGAGAGAGAGAAGCCTAGAGAAATACGGTCTGCATCAGTGTGACAGCAGGCACAGGGAAAGCCGCAGAAGGGACGGGGCTCAATGTCTGCTAGTGTGATGCCCCCCTCGTCACTCCCGCTCCGTTTGTGATGAACAAAGGGCTACTGTGTTCAGAAAACCTCGCTTTTTTACTGCCAGCTACACACACAGCCCAAACCCTTAATGGGACACTACATTACGACCCCAACCTATTTTATTGTTGTTGTTGCAGGGTCTCACGTTGTTGCTCAGGCTGGAGTGCTGTGGCACGATCACAGCTCACTGCAGCCTCAACCTCCCAGGCTCAAGCAATCCTCCCACCTCAGCCTCCAGAGTAGCTGAGACCACAGGTACACCACACTGAGCCTGGCTAATTTTTTGTAGAGAAGAGGTTTCACCGTGTTGCCCAGGCTGGTCTCAAACTCCTGGCGTCCTCAAGCTATCAACCCACCTTGGTCTCTTAAAGTGCCAGAGTTACAGGTGTAAGCCACTGCACCTGCCCCCCCACCAAACCATTTTTCTAACATTGCCTTCTCCTGTTTCCTGCTGTGCCACACCAGATTCTCATGAACCACTGCAGCATCCTTGGCTCTGTCTGAAATGTCACTGACACCGCAGTGCTCCTGTCCATCCTGACCATGCTTACGTGCCCGTCCCCTTCCCACAACCCCAAGGTGAAGCTAGGTGAAGTTCCCCCGGGTGTCACCATGGTGCTTTGTTTACGCTTCTGACCTCAGTTTTTTGTTGTCCTCAGTTTATCTCCTCTGTTGGACGTCAGGCACTTTCAGGAGAGGATCTTCTGTCACTCATTCATCTTCACATCCTAACACACACTAAAATGCTCATTGTAGGTGTAGGTGCTCAGATAGGTTTTTTTTTTTTTTTTTTTTTTTTAATCTTGTTGAGAGTGAGTCTCGCTCTGTCACCAGGGTGGAGTGCAGTGGCATGATCTCGGCTTACTGCAACCTCAGCCTCCTCGGTTCAAGTGATTCTCCTGCCTCAGCCTCCCAAGTAGCTGGGATTACAGGCATGTGCCACCATACCTATCTACATTTTGTATTGTTTTTGCTTTTGAGATGGAGTTTTGCTCTTGTTGCCCAGGCTGGAGTGCAATGGCACAATCGCAGCTCACTGCAACCTCTGCCTCCCAGGTTCGAGCGATTCTCCTGCCTCAGCCTCCCGAATAGCTGGGATTACAGGCATGTACCACCGCTCCTGGCTAGTTTTATATGTATATACATTTAAGTAGAGATGTGGTTTTACCATGTTGGTCAGGCTGGTCTCAAACTCCCGATCTCAGGTGATTCTCCTGCCTTGGCTTCACAAAGTGCTGGGATTACAGGTGTGAGCCATCATGCCTGGCCTCAACTATGTTTTTTGAAGGAAGGATACTCATGGAGACAATTGTTGTCTTTTAAATATTTGATATGCGCTTGAGCTAGTTATAGATAGCTCTTAATGTGTTTGTCCTGATAACAGGTTTCTAATGTCACCATTTTAGTTTGCTGAGCAGCAAAGCAAAAATAACATTAATCTGTGTTATTTGACAACTAGTACACAATAACGAATGAATAGCTTAAGTATCAGGGAGAATCCTGGTGAGAAAATTGACAAAGTGAATTTACACTCCCTTTTCAAGCAGTTGAAAGGGAGGGGTAGTTTTCCAAGATGAACACTTAGGTTTGAGTATCTCTCTTTGCCTGAGTTTGCTTTTATGTAAAAATAGAGGATTTGATTCTATCTATTCCCCTTTAACTCTAAAATTACAGTATTCCAGCAGTTTTACCTAACAAGAGTTGACTATTACACAAATGGTTTGGTGCTAACATTAGCAGTAAACACATTTTTAAAACCCTGATTTTACTCAGGCTCCCAGGCATGCTCTGGAGTTCATCTGACTTCTAATAATGGAAGTGCAAATACATTGAGTGATCACTTCCACAACAGTCCTGTCCCTTTAAGAGATCACGGTTGTTAAGTTAGGAGATTATTGAACCGTATGAGGGTCAATAAAAGAATAAAAAGTCACTGGTTAGCGAGTCGAGGACAAGGAACTTGATCCTAGTTCAGTATCTGTGGATCCGTATGCTGCCCACAGTCAGAGAGAGAGTCCCAGGTCCGTGGCACCTTGCTTTTCCTCGGGATGGCTTCTGGAAGGCTCATTAAGTTTGTGGTTTTTGAGCTCCTAGAGTTTGCTGCTTTCTCTGTCCCTACACTTGTGATCACGGAACAGTTTGCCACTGCCTACCAGGGAACAAGGGCCAGATCCGAGAACACACACTACTGGCTGGTCGTCTCCTGTTCTATTGCCTATGTTGCGCTGGTGACTCTACTGATATGGGTTCCTGTAAAAGTTCTCCTGCATAAGAAACGTTATCTTTACAAAAAGATCAAAGGATGGTAAGTAAAAGAATTTTCTTTTTCAATATGGAGTCTTGCTCTGTTGCCCAGGCTGGAGTGCAACCTTGGCTCACTGTGACCACCGCCTCCCAGGTTCAAGTGATTCTCCTGCCTCAGCCTTCAGAATAGCTGGGATTACAGGCACATGCCACCATGCCTGGCTAATTTTTATATTTTTAGTAGAGACGGGTTTTCACCATGTTGGCCAGGCTGGTCTTGAACTCCTGACCTCAAGTGATCCATCTGCCTCGGCCTCCCAAATTGCTAGGATTACAGAAGTCAGCTACTGCACCTGGCCCATAAAAGAATTTTTTAGCACAGAATCCCCATGATGCTTTCAAAGATACATTTGTTTGTTGTTTGTTTTTGTTGAGATGGAGTCTCGCTCTGTCACCCAGGCTGGAGTGCAGTGGCCCAATCTTGGCTCACTGCAGCCCCTGCCTCCCGGGTTTAAGTGATTCTCCTGCCACAGCCTGCCGAGTAGGTGGGGTTACAGGCATGAGCCACCATGCCCAGCTGATTTTTGTATTTTTAGTAAACTGGTCTTGAATTCCTGACTTCGTGATCTGCCTGCCTTGGCCTCCCAAAGTGCTGGGATTACAGGCGTGAGCCACCGTGCCTGGCCATTGGTTGTTTGTTTTAACTTTTAAGTTAAGCGGTACAAGCTCAGGTTTGTTACATAGGTTAACTTGTGTCATGGGGGTTCGTTGTACAGATTATTTAACAGGGTTGAACCACCACACCCAGCTAATTTTTGTAGCTTAGTAGAGACGGGGTTTCCACGTTGGCCAGGCTGGTCTCGAACTCCTGATCTCAAATGATCCACCCTCCTCTGCCTCCCATAGTGCTAGGATTACAGGAGTGAGCCGCCATGCCCGGCTTGTAAAAGAGTTCTTTAGCAGGGAATCCCAGTGATGCTTTCAGACACATTTGTTTGCAGTTTGTTTTAACTTTTAAGTTTGGGGGTACAAGCCCAGGTTTGTTACCTAGGTTAACTTGTGTCATGGGGGTTTGTTGTACAGATTATTTCATCACCTAGGTATTAAGGACATCCGTGTCCCTGCAAAGGACATGATCTCATTCTTTTTCATGGTTGCATAGTATTCTATGGAGTATATATACCACATTTTCTTTATCCAGTCTATCACTGATGGACATTTAGGTTGATTTCATGTCTTTGCTACTGTGAATAGTACTTCAACGAACATACGGGTGCATGTGTCTGTGTAATAGAATGATTTCTATTCCTTTGGGTATACACCCAGTATTGGGATTGCTGGGTCAAATGGTATTTCCGTCTTTAGGTCTTTGAGGAATCACCACACTGTCTTCCGCAATGACTAAACTAATTTAGACTCGCACTGACAGTGTGTAAGAATTCCTGAAAGATATGTTCTAATGTACTATGGGTAAGGATGTGAGCGGAGCGTAAGTATATAATGTGAGATTGATGGAAGGTTAGAATTACTGCTTCTGTAAATGTATGGATATTATGGTAGCTTCTGTTATTTTTCTGCAGTCATTCATACTGAGTGATAATAACACAGGAGGTGGGTTAGTAAGACTGGAGTTGGTGCCATTTCATGCTGCCCTAAGTAGTAAATGTTGGACTTAATTCTCCGGTACACTATACTGTATAAACTTATCAGTCAGCATATACGAGTCATTATCACAAGATGATAATGTAGAATTTTAATTTTGCATAAAACTGAAAGTAATGTCTACTTTTAATTATTTACATTGCATTTTGTAGGCCTAAGACACACTTTGACCTTTAAGTTTTTTTTTAAAACAACTGTTCCTTTAGACTTTTTATTTACTTATTTATATGTTTTGAGTTTATATATTTTGAGACAGGGTGTGGCTCTGTTGCCCAGGCTGGATTGCAGTGGTATGATCATTGCTCACTGCAGCCTCGACCTTCCCAGTGGGCTCAGGTGATCCTCCCACCTCGGCCTCCTGAGTAGCTGGGACTACAGGTGTGCACCACCATACCTGGCTAATTTGTTTGTGTTTTTGTAAAGGTGAAGTTTTGCCATGTTGCTCAGGCTGTTCTCAAACAATCCACCCATCTTGGCCTCCCAAAGTGCTGAGATTACAGGCGTGAGCCACCAAAGCTGGCCTACTTAGACTTTAAAAATAAATAATTTTCTATGTAGGTGAATTCTATTACCCTTGTAGGAGAGGAAAGTGCTTCAATAACAATATAGAGATATTTTAAATAAACCAGTATTTAGTGTTGATTTAACTAGCAGCTTAGCTAATGGCTCTACTGATCCACATAAAGGCATCAAGAACAGAGAGTCTCTGATATCAATATATTTTTCCATTTAGAGCTTCACGTCTGATTTGTACTCATCTAGGACCTCTCTGTTTTCTTTGATAAGTTAATTTTTCTTGCATACTGATGTTTTATTTATTTATTTAAGACGGAGTTTCACTCTTGTTCAGGCTGGAGCATGGTAGCGCGATCTCAGCTCACTGCAACTTTTGCCTCCCAGGTTTAAGTGATTCTACTGCCTCAGCCTCCCAAGTAGCTAGGATTACAGGCACCTGCCACCACTCCTGGCAATTTTTTTTTTTTTTTTGTATTTTTAGTAGAGACAGGGTTTTACCATGTTGGCCAGGCTGGGCTTGAACTCCTGACCTCAGGTGATCCACCTGCCTCGGCCTCCCAAAGCATTGGGATTATAGGTGTGAGCCACTGTGCCCTGCCGATGTTTTATTTTGGAAGTGAACAACACTCATCACATGTGAACAGTGAATTACTGGGAACTTGCACATACACACTGGCAGAAATGTACAAATAGACGCTGCACTAGAGCTAGAAATACCATTACTGCGGTTAGGAGGATGCTGGAGGTGAGCTGACACGTGAGATTCATGACACCCTCTTTAGCTACTGATCCTGGATGTGGCCCCTCCTGCGAACCTCACCGGGAGACTTTTGTTTCCCCGGGAGCAGGGGTCTTAAGGGATTTCTGGAAATAAAGCATTTTGTTGTTGGCACTGCTTTTATCAGTAGGGTTTAGAGGCCTCCCAGACCTTAACCAGAGCCCCAGGGCCACCTAAGGGGTAGCCGGGAGCCAGACTGGGCCCTGCACCTCTCACACCCTATAGGAGTGGCTTTGACCATCTGAGATTCCTGGCTGGGTTGGAATTTTGAGGGAATGGTGGAAGGTTTAAATGACAACAGAAATAAACCAATGGAAAACTGGCCGACCACTGCCCAGGAAAAAGCTCTTGGGTTTTTCGTGTTCTATTTTTTTGTGTTCACATTGACTCAGATCCCTGGGACTAGATTCTGAATGTCATTTAGGCAGCAAACCTTCCCATGTAACTTACTGTTATTATTATTAGGCTATTGTAATTCATTCTTCACAGATCGTTGATTATATGCCATGTAAGTACTGGTCTGAGGTGGTACAGAAATATGTACTTCCTAGGCCAGGTGCAGTGGCTCACACCTGTAATCCCAACACTTTGGGAGGCCTAGCTGGGAGGACTGATTCAAGCCCAGAGTTAGAGAGCAGCAAGGACAACGTAGTGAAACCTCATCTCTACAAAACATTACAAAATCGGCAGGGTGTGGTGGTACGTGCCTGTAGTCCCGGCTATTCAAGAGGATGGCTTCAGCCCAGGAGTTTGAGCCTGCAGTGATCTGTGATTGCACCACTGCTCCAGCCTGAGTGACAGAGTGAGACCCCGTCTCTGAAAAACAAAAAGAGAGAGAAATATCTACTTCACCTCATAAAGTAGATTTTTTTTTTTTTTTTT